TAATGCATGAATACATTGTGTTACTTGAGGAATATTACGTTTTTCAAAAAGATCTACTGTTTGAAAAAGTTCAGCATCAGGTAGACCATAAGCACGAGCAGCAGTTTCTATTTATTTATTGAATATGAATACATATATTATTAATGCTATAATAAAAACTTACGAAAAGCAGATACATTTTCACGTAATTTAAAACCTCCACCTGATGTACAAATCTTTGAGACAGAACCCGGTTGAAGTTTGTTGATCAATCTATAATTTTTTTAAAGTTTAAAATAAAAAAAAATGTTTCATTGAATTAGTTCACAGCAAAAAGCAAAGTCCTACTTGCACAAGATAATACCATCCTTAAGTGCATCTTCATAAGCACAATTTGGAAATTTCTCTCCAATAACAGCTTCAACCCATTGTTGAGCTTCACGATCCAATTCTGTACTACGTTTTCCCGCAATCTAAACAATTCGGATATGTAAATATCATTGCCAAACAAAGAACTATTAGAAAATACGATCGATAAATAAAAGAACGAGAAAAATAAAGAAGGAAAGAAAGAAAGAAGAAAAAAAAAGCAAGAAACAGTGGATTACGATCGATATTAGAATTATATGTTAGCTTCTCAAGAGATTTCTTAGTTCATGATGCCCAACTAAGAAAAACATACTATCGTACCGGTTCAAATTGTTGTTACCACTAATGGCATATCTCGATCATCTGTGGTAAAAGACAGTGATTGTTATTTGTTTATTTCTCCTTTCGGGCAAAAGGCAATAAGTCAAATCAATTTTATCACTCGTTCAGGAACAACTCATATGTATACATTCATATAGCAACATAAGCAAAAGAAAACTATATGTACATTAACGAATTGTAATGTTAACATGTTATAAATCAGACTTTTTCATTAATGAACGATAGTACGATTTTTCAATATGTATAACATATATATATATGTAAAAGATAAAAAGAGTCTAGAAGCAATATTCTTACCTTTGCTTGATTTTCAGCTAGTGTTCCATATGCAGGTCCGTAATTGGCCATTTTTCTACAACCTCAATACACACACCAAGTAGAAATACGAGTGCTAAAGCAAGAAAGTAATACCAACGAGTACTGACAAATAATTATCTGGATATTGCCACGAAAGATATATCCAAAATGGGCGTAGAAAAGGAAAAAAGAAAGAAGGAGAAAAAAGGAATAAGAAAAAGCGACAAGGGCGATATTAGTTGCTGACAGGAATTATGGCATTCTTTTTTTGTAAAAAAAAACTCGATGTTTCTATATTTGGAAAATGACGAATGAGGTCATCTTCAAATAAATAATAAGTTCAAGGATATATGATGTTTAACTTTGATAAGAAATGATACTCGATAAATGATCAATAGCAAAAATAAAATAAAGTTGATCATACACAAATTACTTATACCACGTTTATAATTCCAGAAAATGTAATATCAATAATTTAAGATTAATTTCGTTTTCTCTGAAAGTTTGTACATTTTTTCGAAAGTAAATGTTCAAAGATCGAACACAGAGTGAATACCATATTTAGATTTGAAAAGTAATCGTACAAAAAGTAAACCAAAAAGAAAAATATACAAAATCAACTCATGATTATGTTAATTTTTTCTTGCAGAATAAGAATTACTACTGCTCGATTAATCGATTTGATTGATAGTGTTCAAATAGAAAACTATAGTTAACAGTCAATTTCAAATATTAATAAGAAATTGTTCTATCATTGATTATTTACCAGCTGATATACAAGTATAAGTATCACCTTGACACTGAATTTGATGATGATAGATATTTTCTCTTACTTACAGTTGTACAATATCATCAAAAGCTCTTTATGTATTCTTTTATTTCTCTATCGTTTCATTCTAGTGGCAAAGAGTGTTAGGCCAACGGGAAGTTAAAAAACAATATGATAACAAGAATATAAACTATGACGAGACAGATTGCAACAATTATTTCAATGAAATATAGTGAAATAATCTCTTGTGGATATCTGTACTAATATTTCAATGCAGATGAAAGCTTTGTTGAATTGAAAACATATTTAATTACTTTTTTTCTCTTTTGATAAAGAATCTCGGAGTATATAACATTGTAAAAATTTGAAAAATATTTTGAATTTCGATTGACAATTATTTTTATTGAAATATAAAATTAGTTGATGGTGACAATTTATTGAATGATCAGGCTAAACCACATAAAATAATTAACAAAAGACAAAATATCTCAATGAAAGACCTATGATCTTTTCTCGATTATATTACATGCTACGTCATTGATTATCATTATCGTCAGCTACTATCGTTGCTATAATAGAATGTGATAATTATAAATAGTGTGGGCAACTGTTCTCTTTTTGGTTTCTTGAAGACATCTGTTATCTTTTCCACGATAAATTCGAACAGTGTTGCCACATGGAATGTTGTTTTTGTCTTTCTAACAATATCTTCTTGTATCTGGAATATTCTAGAATATGGGGGGCTGGTGCTATATTGTATTGCACGTAATAACCTATTTATCTGTTATAACAAAATCCATTGAGATCTCAATTCTTCTTAAATAAATACTACTAAGAATAGTTTGTTAATTAGCTGCTGAACAAGTCAGTTGAATAACGAGTCGAAAAATATCTTGTATTAATTTCTGAACATTTGGATGACTAATTAATTCTGTATTCTTTAATCATTCCCATGCACTTTTCAATCAAAAGTTGATTTATACCATCATCTTTAGCAGAGATTTCGTTTGATTATAGAAATGTTCCAAAATACTATTATTTGTCTCATGCTTCTGAACAAAACATGGATGTGTCGGTTGACAGAGTATTTATCATTGCTAAATATGACATATCATTCGTAATGCTTTCAAAAACTGAAATATGAACATTAGAATTGAAGGATAATATAATCAATTATTGAATATATAATTTAAGAAATTAATGCCATAATGTTTATGTAAAATAAATAGTATTCTTTAGCAAGAGTAAAGTAGTAACAGTTGGCAAAAAAAACCATGAATAGAGATTGACTAAGGTTTAACAATATTGAGGTCACCAACTGATACCGATGACTTGATGTAATGAAATTAGCTAAAAAGTTCCATCATCCATTATCCTCTAATTATTTATCGATGTGTGATGATAAAGTTGATGGCCATTAGATGTTATGTGTATTAGGTAAAAGATTGATAATACAACTGTTGCTCAATGTATGTTGTTATGAATATTGATGCTAACAAGGCGTTCATTGGATAAAAATGGACTATCAAGAGACTTCAATGAAACGGAGCACAGTTTCGTTATGAAATAGTTGACTAAGATTTTTTCTCTAATCTTTTTCTAAAAAAAGTGTTGCATTTTTCGGATGATATAACAGCAAAATAGTTTTGCTTTATTTGTTACATGACACTTAAAAAAAACAATTTTTTTTTTTGAGGAAAATCCGAAATTGAGTATTAGAAAGTTAAATGTTAATGGAATCTATTAGAAAATGTTTTATATATGTAAAATTAACTTGTTTATATGCCTATCTATTTCATGACTAATATATCTCATGGTATTGGTGTCACCTAATTGTAATTGCATGTATTAAAAAAAATAACTATCATATTTCCAGTACAGAAATATGACATAGTTTTTATGCTCATCTCACACTCGTCATAGAAGAACGAATAATAATAATCATATTACATGGTAAAACAAAAAGATTACTAGATTATGAAAAATACTCTGTTTTTGTTTCCTCTATTAAAAAAAGTCCATTTCCATTAGATCAATCGAAGTTATAATTAACGCATGGTATAATAGATTAAAGTCAGACCTCTCATGAACAATGTGAGTTTGCATTTGGTATGTCGTTCTTTATAACAATTTTACATCATTTTCTACTTGAAAAAGATGTTTTTGTTTTCAAAATAACAGAAATGTTTATCGTTTTTTCTCTGTTTATGCTTTTGTGGTCATACATATCAGAACTCTTGAATGATTTTCATTGTAGCTAGTTGCGGGTTTCTTTGAGTTAAAATAATGAAAAACTGAAGTATTTGAGAAAGTTCTCTTTTGTTTTAAATTAAGCATTCTTATTATTATATAAAAATGCACTTCTATCAATAGATAAGCAGGTTTTGAGAATTCTTCGAGCTATGGAACTTTTCATTTTTTTTCTCCGCGTAAAAAATAAGAATTCATAAAACAAAAGAATTCTTTTGCGAGCTGTAGCTTGACATGCTCTTTCAAATAAAGAAAAATAAAACATATACGATGATGATCCACAGCAAATTTCGGGTTGTTCAATGAATATTTCTTGAAAACTTTATGATATAGAGCTGAAAATATTAACATAGTCTCTCCTCTGTAGCTCCAAAATATCTTGAAAATTTCATACAATAAGGGTGTATCTAGTCTAAGATCGATTTTTGAGAACAGAAGACTTCAATGAATAGTTATCATATTTGTCTATTAGTACAAGATAGCCAAATCATGTATTCTTTGTGTGCAGTGCACAACCATAAATCTCACTTAAATAAGATTTTTTGAAATCAACTTTTTTCCGATAGTAGAATAGAATATTTTAATGATTCAATAGATCCATCAGATTATTTCGAATAAACTGTTGATTTTAATAATAATACCTAATGTCATCGAAATACTTACAAGTTATTATTTCATGAACTCATTTTGCTTTGATACAGACACAAAAGTATTTGAATTTCTATTTTTCAGTGGTATATCTGTAGTATATAGATAAAGAAAAGAAAATTATTTCTATTAGCACTATCTATCATCATTCTTTATTGTAAGGTCATTAAATGATCAGTGGAAGTAGCAATAGCATTTAAAAATACATGTATATGATAATTGAATATACTCTATGGGCAAAAAAAAATTATCTTCACTATTATTATTAGTCTATGAAAATTATTGTAATTGTAAATATATTCGTAATAATTCACATATGGCATGTTAGACTAAAGCTGAGACCTAGTTAATTGGCAGCATTTAATTTTTCCTCCGTGAATTGCGGCATATTTGCTTGAGTCGTTGTAGAGCCGAGTAATGGACCATCGAATTTGTTTTTACGTGCCTATAAAAAGACCATGATAGAATATATATATATATATAAATTCTTCAAGAGATCGATGATTTACTTCTCGACTAAGTGCAAATAAACACCGAGTTACTTGCGGAATATTGCGTTTTTCAAAAAGATCAATAGTTTGAAAAAGTTCAGGATCTGCTAGACCATAGTCACGTGCAGCATTTTCTATTTGAATTTTGTTATATAAATTTTTTTTCACAATAAAAGAATAATTTATCACTTACGAAAAAGTGAAATGTTTTCGCGAAATTTAAATGATCCACCTGATGTCGTATATTTCGGAATAGCATTTGGTTGAAGTTTATTCATTAGTCTATTGTATTTTTATAGACAAACAAATACGATTAATTCAATCCAAAGAATAAAAAACATATTAAATATTACTTGCAAAGAATGACACCATCCTTAAGAGCTTCTTCATAAGGAACATCCGGAAATTTTTCACCAATTATCGCTTCAATCCATTCTTGTACTTCTCGATCAAGATTTGGATCACGTTTTGCTGCGATCTAAATATTTAATTTAGTTTTATTTATGTCCGATGAACTTGATATAAGAAAAAAAACAGAAAGAAAAGAAGTAATAATTGATCGTTTATGATCCATGTACTAACTAAATCTATTTTTCGAAATTCTAAGAGATTTTTTTATATGAATTCTCGTTGTCAAAAGTAATGGAGGAAGTATTGTTTCATTAGACCATTTCTTGATGACAAGTCATTGGTATCCTGTTTCATTAACACAAAGAACAAGTACAGTTATCACTATTAAGTAGATGAGAAAATCCTTAGTGCATGTATGTTTATGCAAAAAAAACATAAAAATAGAATTAGCATCTTTACCAAAAAATGTTCTATATCTCCTTATACTCAGTGTCTTGCTATTTAGTTTTATTAAATACTAAAATGAAGCTTGAGAAAATAAAATTCCAATAATTGTTTCACCTTCCTTTGATTAGCTGCTAATGATCCATATGCAGGCCCAGGATGAGACATACACTTCAACTTAAGATAGATAGTAATAATAGTAAATTTCGACTAAAGAAATGCTACAGATAACGAAAATATAACTCAGCATTTATATGGATATTGTTTTAAGTCTATATTAGATGGCGTTCTCAAATAGAAAGACATATGTCGACAAATGCTCTATAGTTAAGCTCGTCTTCAGAAGACGTCTTTGTAAACATATAAAAATGGTGTACCAAGAAAGATAAATGATAATGATGATATCAGTTTTTTGTAAGATAAGGTTCTGCTGAAAAATATTATGTTGCAGATGAGAACGAGAATGTAACAAAAAGAACATAGAAGAAAATATTTCCATACGAGAGAACATTCTCAAGAGACCCGCTTCCTTTGTTCTCATATTTTGCTCGAATGTAGAAGATCATTAGAGTGACGTAACTTCTCAAGGTTTGCTGTTCATGTTTAGATTTGTTCGAGATAGCTACTTTTTAGTGGATTCCTTCTGCAGAAGTCCAATGTTCGGCAAAAAAAATTACTCGTGGGAACTTCGACTTGACATTTTGTACACATGAAGGTCTCTGTTAGACTATTTCTTATACAAAGTGTCATCAGTTTTGGATATCGTATTGCTAAGATATGGATTTATCAATATATCTACGCTTTTCTTTAAATACTATGTAAGATAGGAATATATTGATAACCCCTATATCTTGGCAATGTGATATCCAAAATTGATGAAACTTTTTACACAAAATAGTCCAATAGAGATCTTTATGTGTACACACTTTCAGATTGAAATTTTCACATATAATTTTGTCGAAAACTGGACTCGTACACGATGAATCTACTAAAAAATTTACTATCTCAACCAAATCTAGACATGAAGAGAAAATCTTGGAAGGTTGTGCTATTTTAATAATCTCCTACATATTCACAAAATATGAAGATAAACGGAGTAGATAACTTGGAAATATTTCCTTGTTAATGGAAACATGAAGAAAATAATCTCTTTTCAAATTATAAAGATCAATGAACTTAGTCGATGTAATGTGAACTAACTTAAGTAAAGTGAATTCTGTTCGTTTTTTTTTCTGGCTAGACGCTTGGAGGTCATCTATACTTTTCTGCTGTTCCAATACAAACATATTTGATGGAATTAAACAAACATTAACCACTTTGATCTGGGATTTAAGAAGATTTGACTTATTCTACGTCAAGCATGTGTATATGTATATGCATTTGATGATAAAATTAATTATCCTAAACTATCTTAATGTCATATGTTAACGGAGTGTTTTGAAAGTCATATAATAGATATTGATAGTATAAATATAGATTTTTTTTGCTTAAGTAACTTGTAATGGTGATTTTATCATCATCTCTTGGGTGTAACTAATTCGTTTGATCGATTCGATGTTTACTATAGATTCATGAATAAAAATTTTTGTCTAGATATTCGCTAACTAGATGCAAAAAAACATACAGTGAATTACCTTTCGTTTTATAGCAATGTCCATTCCATATGCCGGCATTATGAATCGAATAGTAGATGAGTATAATAGTTTCTATAAAAATAAAACATTAACTTTTAAGTATATAAAAAATTGATACGTTTTTCTTTCTATTTGTTTTATTAGAATATGATCAAGAAGATAGTGTAAGAGAAAGCAACTTCATAGATAGATAGTATTTACTCTTGATCATTTTATAATAAATCTTCTGAAGGAAAGAAAGAAAAATGCAAAATATTTTTTTACTATAACAATTAGAACACAGAAGATCACTGTTGATCATGTAATCTGAGCTGGATAGGGCATGTGTTTTTGTGTATGTAAGTAGGAAAAAATGTATAACTAGCAAAGAGATCAAGGGTTTATGATGATGATCAATGATTAATTCAGATAATGAAAATAGTAAATCGGATACGTAAAATAAATATTATCTTTTCTTTTTCTGATTCTTTCAAGTGAATGGATAACAAAATACAGTAAAAATATTATGTCTCATTGAATTTCAAGAGCATCTTCAATAATACAATCCAAGCATTCTTTATTAATTTTGTCTAAAAACTAAACTATTTTTTAAAACAAAAACTTTTTTATCATCGATTAAAGCGTAATATCAGACGATATCAATAATCATTTTCAGTTCAAGCAATTGGTTGATAAAAATATTAAAATACAATTAGATAAAAAAAAAAAGCAACGTAAATGTTTAACTCTACCTTAGATAATATTGTTACAACTGTAATGTATTCTTCTTATGTATATATTACACAATGTTATACTATGGCATAAGGTTCTTCTCAAAATGATGGAAGTATATTCCGCTAATATGCAAGTGTTGATAATTACTATGATACATGAAGAATGATTGATCTTAACTGCAAGAACAAATGTCGTCATGCCAAAAATATATCGATATTGATCGATATTAACATTTGATGCATGAGAATAGCTATTCACTTAATAGTCTGTGTCAAATTGTGTATTAAGACATTCTAACGTTTCATCATTTAATAATCTTTTTTTTCTTCGATTAATATATCATAAATATTTTATTTCAAAGTTCTCATCGTGATTCAATATTTCTTTTGCTGTCCACAAGCATTCGAGTATTTTAGTCAGCTCTAACTTTTCTTAACTAACATTAATCATTATTTAGATAACTTCAAAATTAATTATTATATCATACATGAAAACAACAAAAACCGTATATCACATATTAAGAAAATTCCTCTCGATTTTTCATCGTATTAAGTTGTCGAGCAATATTACTACTCGACTATCAAAATTGATTACTAATTGCTCTTTCGTCGAGTATCAGTAAAACACCATATACATGTATGTTCTCACGAAAGAGTCGTTTATCTTTGTCTTTGTCTATCAATCAATCTACAGAACAAGAAAAACACACTAGGAGTATTAAACTTAATACTGACGTGAGTCTTATGATTGTAAATAAATAGTCTTTTATATGAGGTACTCTCCAAAAAAGAAGTCATATTAACGACATGATTAGTCATCGAGAATCGGTTTGAAAATATACTAAAAATATGCTGATATCGGGAAAAACTGATCTCTCCTTGCGTTTTTATAAACACTTAATCAGTGTTAACAGAATATAACAAAAAATTTGCAATCGAATTTTTTTTATATGCCAAGTTTTCAATTTAATAGAACGATATTATATCTGTATAAAAACAACATCGATTAATATGTGTAAAAAAATTACTCTATATTCACCGATAGCCAACGATTAGGACTTAACCACTTCTACTACACTTCGCTGCTGTCAATGATGAGCAGTCACTCGATGATGTGTGTTACGTCAACTCGAAACAATACTGCAAAGCATTACCGAAGTTACTCAATTGTTTCTTCTTACTAAAACCGCCATGTTCCACGTACCGATGTGTTTAGTATAACCGCAATGTGGATGTCATCTCATAGAATGACAGATTCAATAGTGATGCTTGATGAAAGAGATTTCCAATGGTTTGCCGAGTTCCCACAAGTCTTGTAACATATTTTTTTTGTCGTTCTTGTTCTACTTTTTTTAGTTTTTTTGTTCGTTTTTCTTTTATCGATCTATCTTTTTATTTCTATCAATCTGTGTAACTAACATAACGTCCATTTAGGAACTCAAGTGGTCACAAGGTAATAAAGAGGCTTTACAAGAAAAAAAAATATGTGTGAAAAGATAATCTCAGCATATTTTTGGAGAAGAACAGATACATATGTCATAAAAACTAGCATTAAATCAAGTTTCCATATCGGATACTGATACATATATACGCATGTTGATCAGATTGAAAAGAGTCGACGAATCTCAGTAACAGCTACTGATAATGCTGTTTACCATTATAACTTAATATAACAAAATACATAGTAAAAAGTGCATGGATGCTGATATACAACGAACTTACTGGTGTCCTATCAACGAAATAATAAAATGTCAAGCGAGCAGATATCATAGACTTTCAAATAAATTAATCACATTTATGATTCACTTGTTTACTTGAAATAGATAAAATGACCATCATTGTAATTGTTTAAATGTATGAAATTCAATACTATGTTTGAATATTAATAAGATTATTTTACTTAAATTATTTAAAAAATCAACAACAGTCAGTAAAATTTTGAAAACGTTTCGTCTACGATTGCATTCAAACACATTTCATCATAATTTACAAACTCAAAACACAATAAAAATAACATGAGTAGAGTAGACAAACAAATAAAAAAAGAAATCGTACAGAAAAACATTGAATATTATCACTATTTCTTGCTGTTGTGCTATTATCACTATAAATTGGTGTAATCAATTCATTTGGTGATCGTTCAACAATTGCAATATCGGCACAATTATAAAATTCTTCTTGTTGATCAGCACAACCTAAACATTTTCTTCCTTTGTGATCTTTTCCCCATGTATTTCCAGCATGATATTTCCATTGAAAAACACAATGTTCACATGAAATAATTTCTGCAGGTAACTCAACAGGTACATAAAAATATGATTTATTTCCGTGAGGTAAATAATAACGTGTATCATCCCCATTTGATTTTGAATCACTTGGACCAATTTTTAAAAGATATTGATCTAGACATTGTTGAGTTAAACGACGTGGTCGACGAGAATGGCCCATATCAAGTGGACATAATCGAAATTCAAAATAACCAAAATGATTAGCAGTAATATCTATCGTTGTATTGATCATTGTACCTGATTCATATGTACGACCTATGATACCTGTTGCATATATACCACCATCCTCATGATCACGAGGACCTAGAAATTCAATTAAGCAAGAAAACAAGACAATGATAAAATCTACCTTGAAATGGATCTCCACAAACACCACATCGACCCTTTTGTACAGTCCATTGATTTTCTTTTCCACCACAATAATTACTCATATCATTATAATTAACTGGTACATCAAATCCAAAACGCCACATTGAACCTTCAAATATTAATTGTAGTTGAGTTTCATATGAATTAATTCTATTTCTACTTACCTCTTTGTGGTGGTTCAAGCATTCTGCCATGTGAATTGCAAAACTGTATCAATGAAAAGAAAATGAAAGTGTCAATAATGAATAATTGGTTCCAAGTCAGTGAGTATTTCATCATAATGGCATTCAACTATTCGTACACGATTCAATACATTCAATTTTGTTATAATTGTCTGGTCATACAAAACGAAAAAAAAAAAAGAAAAAGATCGAAGTTAATCTTCATGTAAACAGTTCATTAAAATACGTACAAGTGTTGGACATCGAAAAGAAAAAGAAAACGAATAGCACACGAAACCTTTCTTTCTTTCGTTTTTATTTAGAGGTCACAATGATCAAAACATGTTCTTGACAAACTATTGTAAGCCGATGAGTTTGAAAAGAATTTCAAAGAAAATAAAAGAATGAATGTCAATTGATCAAGATTGAAATGATGAAAATTCATTTATCAAACTAACATAGATATTTACATGTCACTATAGGCCAGACATTGTTTGAGTATAGATGATATCATTACTAAAAAGATAACAACTTGACTTTAATTCATGATTGTTTTTTTATCGTAATATGTCAAGGAACCCATATTAGAAATATAATGATATTGTTTATGGGTATGAATGATTTTGATTACCAAAAAAAAAAGATACTGTTGATCACTAAATTTATTAGTAATAGAAAAAACAAAAAATACATGAGTTAATAGTCATAATTACACAAAATAACATCCAAGAAAGAACTCGCTTGGTTCGATTCTAGAACTATCTGGTGTTGCTCGGTCATCATATGCCTTGAAATTGTGTTTGAAGAACTTGACAGTATGAGCTTTATCGGTTCCAACGAGATCCAATAATAATTTTCTGATTGTCGAAAAAACATGAAAGCTGATTTTCAAACTTTTCCTTAATGAAATATTTTCAAACACGATACTAGAAACAAATATTAGAAAAACTCACATACTTGAGAGTATCTTGAGTTTTACTTTGACTATTGTCACAAGTATAACTGCAATCTTCTATTGTTTGGGCGAAGTGACTCCTTGTGCATAAAAAGTAATAAAATGCGGTTATCTTCGTTTTATTAAATTTCATTTAAATCCAACATTAATGGTAGGTTATTATTTTCCAATTAAATTATAATATTTTGTTTAAATCTACTTCAATAACTATACCTCTCAAGGTTGTATCAAATAATAGAACACGCAAATATGATGATTGCTATAGGATCTTATTGAGAAGAATATGAACAAGATTGTATTAAGTAATCGATGGCGTCATATGCAATAGTTTACGTTAATCGTCATTTGCTTTTTAGATCGTATTATTTGAAGAAACCAACAGAATCCTACCTCATCCTGGGTTTATTCGACATTTTACACCCACACCCAAGACTCAACATTTCACAGATTCCAACAGGATTTTGTCGAAAATTATCGGGTTATCTGGAGTTTCATATAGAATTCGATAAGGCCCACTAGTGTATAATTTTTTCGTCATGGAACGAGAGAAAAATACACTTACTTGAAACACAATCAATATTAGCAGTAGAAAGACTATGTCCAGCGAATGTCAAAATAATAACGTTGTGCGAATCACTTTTTTGGTCAGCGTCGTTCTTTTCGTTTTCCCAATAGTGCTCATCAAAGTTTTTCTGTCATGTGATACATATGGAGTAAGGTATCCGATCCAAGGTAGAGCTCTGCGGTTCCAAAACTGGCTAGAATCGGAACTGTGATTTCAGCTCGTGTTCATAAAAACGAAAAAACTGATTTCAATATCGGGGTGTGGGTGTGGATGAGGTATGGGTGTGGGGTGTAGGTGTGGATGTGCGTAGAAATAAGACTGACACTCTCCCACACCCACACCCTTGTCTTAATGTATTGAAATATAATAACATGGTAGGTTCTATTCATTACTTTTTCTATTTTTTCTTAAATATTTTTCTATTTTGTTGGGTATGGTCTTATTTAAAGAACTATCATGTCATTATATTTATGCAATAAATAAACTTATCTGTGTAGATTGTGATAAGTTTTGATCTAAATGAAACAGAAAAAGCAATTTTCAATTTTAATCTTTAATTTTTCTTAAGCCATATCAATTTCTCTACATGTTAAGTCACACCAGAAACTTTTAGTAAAGACTTAAAACAATTTGTCCGGAACGAGATAGCATTTTTTCAAGCTCACTTAATCAAAAAAATTTAGCATTTGTAGATAAGTAGTATTCATCGTAATACAAGTGAAGTATTTCGACTAAAAATCAAAAAGTATTTGTATGAATTTTCAAGATGAAATTGAAATTTTAAAACAAGAATTTTTTTTTATTAATCTTTTTATGACTGATAAACATGAACTGGATGAGTTTCAATTTGAGAAACAAGCAAGAAAATTTTTCTAAATCTTATTCGTCGTCGTTACACTTCTCAAGTTGTTAAATGTTGAGCAAGTAGATAAATAACTTTTATTCCGATATATGTAAGCATTTGCACTATTTATATTTCAATATCAAAGTAACATGTTATAATTATAACGTTGTAATTGTAGTAAAAACTGCATTCAAAGAAAGTCTCAATGCATCAATAGAGGAAATGTACGTTGCAATCAATTAATTGCTACTTTCAAATTTCACAAAAAAAAAACCGTTGGTTGATTGCATGTTTAAGGATGGTGTAAATAGTTTCTTCTCCTTTTGTAGTTACAGTTACATGTCTTGGTCGAGATGAAGGGCTTGATGCACTTTTAAAATGTTATAGAAAAAAACAAAACAAAGTATTGAACATATTCGTGTGATACTCCACATTGAAAGAGCACCTAAGATAGTTACAAATGTTCATGATGCAACACATGCAGTAAAATACCATAACCTTATAAAAATTCTGTTTTACGCAGAATGTTTCACAAGCCCAAAACAAAAACAAATCTGCTTTGATTTTCAGCATTTCAAAGGACTGTGTGAGATCTTAATCCAACTTATACTTTATTTGTATATCTGTTTCATAATCTCTCTTCTTTCACAAAACTTAACGTTATATATAATCACAAAAAGGGTTGGAAAATTCCTACAAACGATGAACAGGGAAAAATCCATATAACAAACGAAAGACAGAAGAATACAACGAAATGGAAAATTCCAACATGTATAGAAGGAAAGGAGCAATCTATGAAATATGACTAACAATTAGAGAAAAGAAGAATAACATAAGTTCATATGTATAATCCTATGGAGAGAGAGGGAAAAATCCTGATGATTGATGATTGCAGATCATAATAGACTGGAATATTTTTTTTTTAATAGTTTGATCACATATTCATTAAACTTTTTAAAGAAAATGTCTGTATCTGCAGAAGTCAGAATTAAAATAGTCTTATTGATGATCAAATTCAAGTCAGTTACTATCGCAAAATGAAAGCTACAGTCGAATTTGGCAAAAACAGGTCAATCGAACCATATTTCAGTGATTTTGTGAAACTAGTACGATTATGTTCTGTGAGACTTGCAGCATTTACTGAAGAAAAAGTCAATAAAGTTCAGGATACCTGTAAAAAATGAGCTGGGATCAAGTATTCTGTCTATTGTACGAGTTTTCTCATTATCACAAACATATATCAGATTATAACGAAATATCTCTTATTAAAGTACCATTTGTTCAGCAATTCTACGAAGAAGAGTTACATAAACTAGATAATTGATTCTAGGTCATTTTTACAAACATCATAATTGCTTACATAACTACCCTACGGCCGTGCTGATATATCATCGATTTTCGACAGTACTGATTTCACAAAACGACTGTAATGTGTTTCTAATGCAATTTTTAGTAAGCATATTTTTGCCAAGTTCGACTTGCAGCTTTCATTTTACAATGGTTGCTGACTTGAATTTTACCATCAGTAAAACTGTTACAATTCTGACTTCTGTAGACACATTCATTTTATCTGAAAACTTTAATAAATATCTGATCAAAGTATGAAAAAGTTAAGTTCTTTAAATTGCTGATGAGCTATTCATATTTTTTTTTTTTTGGTTTAGACTTTGAAATATCTTACATATTAAAATCTATTTGTAAGAAGTTTGCGTAACAAATGGAAGATAGAAATCATGAAAAGTCTGATGACGATGAAGATTCAGATGAAAGTAAAATTTGGAAAACACAAATTATCTACTGTGATCTGTTTAGATAGTGGTGAAATCAAATGTAGTTTATCAGATGATAACGACAGGAACTATTGAAGTATTCATGGAATTGAAAAGATTATTACAAAATAATACAGAAACTGATGAAGATAATAATATTGATGAAAATGAAGGTTTAATTTTAGGAATAAAAATAAAATTATCAATTATCATTTCTTTTTTTTATGTTATTATTTTTCTTTTCAATTATTTCAATAAATACGTGATGATACAATTGAAGGCTTACGAACAAGAGACAATGCTTTAATATACGATAGTTTTTCTTCATCATCAATAATGGATCGATGTAAATAAGATTCAAGTCGATAAAAAAATTGCTTTATTATTGGATTTGTTAATTGATTAGTTTCATTATCATTTAATTGTATCCATGCGAATTTTTCTTTATCTGACGAGACAAGTATTAAAAGACTAACTTCAATAAGACGAGCAAGCGTTTGAACAGATTCATTAAGTGTTGATAAACGTTCTTCTGTAAGACAAGCTCGTTGTTCGATAAGATCGCATTGTGCTGTACCACGACGAAGACGTTCTGTAAGACGATCGATTTTAACTCCAAATTCGGTCATTGAATGATGATTGGTGCGTTTGTATCAATGAATGATGAGTTGTTGTCTTTAGCAGTATAGTAGATTCTATGTGCTCTCACTGATCATAGAAGAACAAAGTCAATCGCAAGATCATGCAATGCGAGACGATAGTCGTATTCGTTGTGCGATGAGAAATAAGAATAGAAGGAAAAAAAAAGATGGACAACTTGCTGTCAATCTCTATTCCGTTTTTTTTTCTGGGTAGGAAACATCACTATCAACCCAAATGACATGCAGATTGTATTTGTAGTAGTGCGTAGGCGAGAAAATATGATTAGATCAATCAATAGATGCAGCGCATAGACAAATTAGTGGAGCCAAGCTAATTCTCAAATGATGAACGCAAAAAAAAAAAGAAGAAGAATTTCTTTATATATTTATGTACTTGATCGATGAATATATGAATTTATATGGCTCTTTCTTTCACTTTATTTTAAGCATACAGAGAAGTAATGTAAAAATCTCTCATTTCATCTTATGCTCTTGTTCTGTAAACGATATGAATTCATCTTACATAATAAAGCAATTGGTGTCCTTCTTGTTTTAAGAGATGTAATATATGCAATCAGAAGGCCAGAATAAATATTTTTTTTTTGAATTTAACTAAAAGATGGAACAAAATTGTATACGTGTTTTATTCACTTTTTTCTTATCATGTTTCTATGATTATATAAATAAATATAGAATTGATTTAAATGATTACATTGAATAATTTCACATGTATAATTACAAATTTTATTCGCTTCATTGAAATATTGTTTTCTTTTTTTTTGCGAACGATTAATGATGTACGTACACTAACTATATGCGTATGTATTACGCAATATTACATGCCATGTTGTTGTCGATTCATGTCATTGGCTTTATAAATTTAGCATTGTGATAGTTTTTGATGACAGAGAATAATAAACAACTTATTTTACATATTAACAAAGTCATCTTGTATTCATTCAACGATTGATTCGTAAAATATAGTAACATGATATGAGAAACTAGCTAGTCTGTATGAAATGTTTATTTATGATAAAGATTTGATCCAACATGGGATCAAGTAAAATGTTAAATATATGACAAAGATCAATATGCCTCAGTGTTCAATTATAAAGCATCATATAATATGAAGATTATAAAGGATTTTGTATTTTTATCTGCAATGTATTTTTTTTTAATGTGAAGCCTAACAAAAATTCTTTTTTTTCTTAAGAACCTTTTAGTCAATTGTTCATACCTTCACGAAATAATATTATACTAGGATTATTTATTTTTACACAAAATTATCATACATAATTTGCATAAATTCTCTCAAAAAAATATTTTATTCTTCTAATGATGTCTATATTGTTTTGCATCTTTATTTAGACTACTGAGCTTGTTTTTAATGATTACTATCTCAGCAAGTTTGTATTAGACTATTTTTTTTTCCAGAAAAAAGAATTTATTTCTCAACTAAAATTTATAAAATTTATTTTCAATTTCAAAAGCATCTCTTATATATACAATATTGATGTCATTCATTTAATACATCACTGTATAATTACAAAATGATTGATTATTAGAAAAATCTTTTATGACATTTATTTTTGAAATTGCACATATTTTATGAGTCACTCGAAAATGAACAATTAAAATTTACAAAAGAAAAAATATTTATTATATTTGGTCATCTTTTCTTGTTTTTCTTCTTTGAATAACGTATATTATTTTCTGATATGCCTTTGCCATTAATAAGCGGTTTAAGATGATGAACAATTTTCACCAATGTTTCTTGGTTACTCATTACTGTCGTCAAATCCTAAAAATAAATAATAATATTAACTAGTCATATTTCATTTTGATTTACTTTATATGCTTGCGGTGCTTCATCTCTCAATCTTTCATTGGTATCACTAACAATACCTTTCATAGCTTGTTCAAATGATTGTTGAGAAATGGTTTTCATTGCCTATGAAAAAAAAAACATCTTATCAGAAAAGAGAATTTCTATGATAAAAAATGAACCATTGTTCTTGACATTATTCTACCAGCACCATGAGAACATGAATAAAATGATAAAGGATTTCCTAAACCTTCGACTATAAATGAACCAGTACCCATTGAACCAGGAATAATTCCTAATTGACCTTTTCGCGCACTTGTAGCACCTTTTCTTGTTATCCAAACTAAATCTTCCTTAGAATTATCAAAAGAAACATTTTCTTGTTGACAATAATTATGATGAATATTAACCATACGTTTAAGATCTACTTCATATCCAGTAACTGATTTTACTATTAAGCAAAGTTCATCTAACATTATGCGACGATTTTGTTCAGCATAATTTAAACACCATCGCATATCTATTAAATAATCTTGACCTTCGATTGAATCAATATCTAAATATTTTAATTCATTAATAACAGGTAAACGATATTTTGACATTTGACGACCAGCTACACTATGATAATAATCGCATGTTTCTTTACCAATTCGACGTGAACCACTAAAAGTAATCATCTTATATTTTTTTGAAGAAAATAGTAAATTTAAATTTAAATCAAGTTTTTGGTGGCTCTACCATTGATTCTAACAGCGAGAGTGAAAGAAAAAAAGTCAAAAATTATTAGGTGCATTTTTCTAGCAAGCAGGAAATCGGATACCAATGATCATATAATACTTTTTTTGAGAAACTAGAAAAAAGCACATCAGTAATAACAGTGCTAAGATCACTATGGAACTTTCTGAAATCTTTCAAAACATTCTATGCATCTAAGATTCTAACTAGTTTAATTATTGTGAGTTTTAGTATTTCATGCAGTGAAAGGATCTTATTGAAGGTGTCAATCAGTAGAACAGTGGTAGCATTGATCTATCAGAGTTAAAACAGAATGCACATAGAAAAGTATGAACTAATTCAATTCTAAGTTTAGAACGAACTCAACAGTATATGTCAAAGCTCATCGAAAGAAAATATGGTATGCTCGTAAGTTTAGTGAACAATTAAATAAATGTGTATAAGAGGCTAACATTGTGATCGAATCATCTTAACAAAGAATAAAAGGATATTTGCTAGTGTCTATGGCATGTATTGCATATATTATCATAAGGAGAAAAGAAGCTTATATTGAAGATGTATCTGACAATATAAATAAGTTTTGTTTTTAGAGTAACGATGTTAAATTAACCTAATAAATTGCTAGAATGGTAGTTATAAATGCAAATATTTTAGAAATGATCTTAATTTCAAAAATAATACACTATAAATTTATAACAATCAAAGTTGGTAAGTTTCACATTTTGCTTTCTCATAGAATTCCACTAACAAATTTTTATTCAATAAACAATGTCTTTACCTATGTAACATTATCCAAACTTGTTCATTTTCATCATAAAGTATTTCAAGAAAATGATTTCCTGAACCAAGTGTACCTAACTACAAGCGAAAAAGACAAAACAAAACAAAACAAATCAATGATGTCATTAATTTTTATATTAATATTCTTACTTGTTTTTTTGTTATATCACATATTTCATTTTTTAAATAATTCGTACATTTACCTAAATCACGAATAATTCGATCAGCTTTTTTATGTGCTTTTACTCTTGCATCAAATCCTGTTGGTATTGCTGTTTTAATTTTTTGTTGAATTTCTTTTTTCCATCTTTCTTTTAAATTATTAAATGTTAAACCATCAATTGGTGCGGCAATCATTCCACAACCGATATCAGCACCAACAGCATATGGGCATACATGAGTGATAGAAGCAAAAACAGTTCCGATAGTAGCACCAACACCTAGTAGAAGAAAAAACTTAAGTAAACATCTGATTTGATCTGTCTTACCAACATGAACATCAGCCATAGCAGCAACAAATCCTTTAGCAATACCACTTTCTGCTAAAATCGTCAATTGTTTTAATGCTTGAGATTCAAGTTCACGTGTATAGAGATGAATCGGTACGCCTGCTGTTGGAATAATAAGAGGTAACGACTTTGATGAATCAGCTATGACACAATGAGTACTATTATCATTTACATCTTCTTCATTAATTAAATTTGAAAAATAACAACAATGAGTTAAACGAGAAAATGATCGACTAATCAAACGAGTCAACATCTTATTCTAAAGTATAACTATGCAAAATTTATTAATTATATATACAAAAGTAATAGTTCAGAAAAAAAATGAATGATAAGGGTTATTTGGTCATATATGAGAAAAAAAGAACTTTATTGAAATAATTCATGACTGTTCGTCTTCTTCTTCTTGTTCTTCATCATTTTCTTCGTCTTGATTATTTGCATTATTTTCGGAGAAATTTTTATACATCGCATCAACTTTAGCTTCATCATCTTCTTCACCTTCATTTAATGCTGCTGGTTTTTCCTCGTTTTCATCGTCATTCAATGTTGTTGGCTTTTCATCATCATTCAATATGTCGAGTTCTTCAACATCCTGTTCATCGTCATGTTCTTCTGGCAATAGTTCATTTTTATTTTCTTCTTGTGCATGTTTCTCTTTTATTGAGTCACAGTTTTCAACTTTAGTATCAAATGTTCCAATAAATGATTGATAATATGAACATTTCCATTTTTCTCCATTTAAAACAAAAGTACATTTAATATTAAGACCATTCACTAGTTGTGTTTTACAAACAAGATCAGATACATTTGATTGAACTTGATCAAGAACTTCATTGCCATAAATTTCGACAAGAGCTTGTTTTAACCATTCTTGTTTACGAGATTCATCATCGGATGTCTTCCAACCACCAAGCAATGGTTCGCAATAACAATAAGTTGATAATAGAACAAAGAAAATAGTAAAAGATTTCATTTTATCTAAAAAAAAAAACAAAATGAGAAAATTTCACTTTTGTTTTTTTTCGTGCAAATCATATTGTGAATTTCGATTAACGAAAAGAAAAAAAAATAAATCTTGTTATCTGAGGCGAAAGGTAAAGTTACATTTTATATTATGAAGAAAAAAAAAGATTCTATGTGGTATTTCAAACATTCATGACAATACCTTTTAATACTGAGTGTTCGGATAAAAAGAAACAGTGTTTTCATTCCTAAAAAATATTCATGAATCCAGAAATAATTAATATTTTGGTAACTTAAATTCGTATCAACCGATTAATATAAATCGTCATGAGGTAATATCGTCAGTGAGTATCTTCTCCAGTATTGTGCTCAGGTCAAAAAAAAGAAATTATTAAATTAGCTTTCAATAATAAAAATTAAACTATGAAAAATTTTTTTTCTAGTACTTTCATATTCAATGTGATTGTAACTAAAGCAACTAAAATATATTCCATAATATGAATATCTATTGAATTGTTGATAATGTTTGTTTATCTTTGTTTGTTTTAACGCAATACAAAGTAAACTAAGCAAATGATGTAGATCTAACATAAAATTTTACCAGTATGCGTAGTAAGTTTGAATATTCTATTTTTTTACCGTGACAATTTTGTACGAATTCAGCAGATTAAAAACCCCTAGCAATACATTTGATTATTATTTTGTTTTACAATCTTTAATGAAGAATTGAAACACATTCAGTGTTTTTATATTAGAAGATTAATCAAGGTGAATTTTGACACTTTAAACTAAAGAACATAAGAAAAAAATTTACTGTATTGTCGGAATGCCAAAATACAACGGAATTTTAATCGATTGATAATTTCACTCTACTTTACTTGCCATTTTTGTTTATATGATAAGGAAAAACTGGCATGAAAAATGATCTTTTATTACGTTCTTATTTATATTTTATTTCACGAATTGTTATTCTTATTGGCTAGTTATATGATCGAATCCAGTAATGCCATAGATATCACTCTGAGAACATGAGTGATAGTGTGGATCTTTCAAGTTAAAAAAACTGTTGTATACAGAGATTTCGTTTGTTTTTGACCAAGGGGGGGAAAAATTTTTTTTCCCAAAGAGAATCTGCTGGAAGAAAACGAAAATATTTTTCCAAAGAGAAAATCCGCTGGAGAAAAACGATAAATTTTTCCAGGGAGACTTTCTCCCAAAATTTTAGGAGGGGGAAATTCCCTCCCTTCCCCCCCCCCCCTAATCGTATGGCCTGGTTGTATAGAACTTTAACCTAACTGATACCAAGCCCGCTGTAGAAGTCTTAGCTTATGATATACTTTTGTCTACTGGATTTCATAGTAGCATAATTAACTGTTCCAGATCAGGTTTTTGATTTTAACCACCTTGTGAAAAACCATCCATAAAGAATGTGCAGGCCAAAGAGAGGAGGAAGAATGCGTCGAAATTGGGCAAATGTGGATAGAGCAGACGGAGAAGCAGCGTCAAACATTTCTGGACGTTCACACACTTACTATCAATATTTTCCAGCGTTACCAGGAACAAAAAAAAACATATTCTTAATGAAACTGATCAGATATGAGAAGAAGAAAGACACCGATCCAGTCCGAAATCACTTGAATCATTTGGCTTTTCGTAGAATTTGAGATGATCTCTTTTTCGTTGCTGTTTATGGACGGAACTTAATAGTATTATTTTTCATATGAAAAAAAGTTTGAAAATCGTCCTATGACTGTGACAGCATTTGGTAGATGTTAATTAACTTCAGTTCGGGTCTAGTCGGATACCGTGTACAGCTATCTGATCCGATTCGGACTTCTGTATAAAAATAATCTACTGTCCGAATTTGGTTGCGAGAAATCGTACACGTCCATGACAATAATATGATGTTGAAATAATTGAAGATTATGCTACAAAGGTAGTGAGTTATTTACATCAAGCTCCATTTTTTTGTCTTTATTTGTTGAGTATGAAATATGTATTTTGGATTTTCTATACTCATTGATTGGTTTAATGAACGTGTATTAAATAAGAAAGAAGTAATATATCTAAACAAGCATGTTCTTTCTAGCAAGTTGTCGTTTTTTCATACTGCACGTCTAGAAGGAAGGAGAGAGAAGTTCAATAAAACTGAACAGTAAATAGGGCAAATAATGTCGGTTTTGCCTGGACTTTTTTTTATAGATCACATCTAATTATTCAATCATCACTATAGAATTATTATTATTTAAATAATTTATTTCATTAGACTATTAAATCAAGAACTTTTGCACATATTAATTGTGTAAATACAAAAGAAAAAAAGTAAGAAAGAGCTTGTCACTGACTTGACAATAGAAAGAAAAGATAGAAAAAGAATATTTCTTGAATAGATATCAAAAAAATAAACATAGAATACAATATATAAAATGAGAAAGAGAAATTCTCATTGAATTAACAATTTTATTTCAAAGGTGAAATTTTTGCCATTATTTTTCCCATAGCTCCTTGAGCAAATGATGGTACAGTTATTGCAACTAATATATAAACAAGTTGTTCGAAAAACTCATACCAAATATTCGATTCATTCCATATTTGTAGCATATTCAACATAATTTCTTTCGCATCATTGAGTTGTACGCTACCTTGTAGAACATCTAAACAAGTAAAAACAAAAATTTAATTTGATCTTTTTAATTAGTAAATACTTACTAGTAATAAGACCAATAGCAAGGGTAGGTACAGCTGCCCTAGATATGCCAGTTCTTCCTTGGGTTTTAAATGATATCAATAATGGATATAATTGAACTGATAATCTTTGAATTTGTTCAATTAAAGTCTTTACAACAAGAAAAATAAAAAAAAAGATAAAATTCAAAATCTACTATAAATATTATTCACTTGATTTTTTGTTTGACAATTAACATAACGTGTTTGTATAGTAGCAAACATACCGAAAATTCTCGTCCTACACAATTAAAATAGATTTTTATTTTTTTATTTTTATTTCTTAAACTAACGCTAAATCTGATTCTTTCGTTGGTTGTAATGCTTTTGTCATATCTTCATGAGTTTTTTCTAATTGAGTATTATTAATACTAGAAAAAGATATTGTTTTTTTTTGTAAATTTAATCACTTTATTTAACTTACTTGATTGTTTTTTCATTAATTTTATTTTCTGATAAAACAATCTCTTCAATTTGTAAAATAAAAGCGATTTCATTATCCTCTTCAAAGTGTTGTAGACACTTTTGATTTTCCTTTTTCTTTTTTTTTAAATAAAGACATCTTTTATACAAATAATCAAAATATAATTAGTCAAATACATATTTACAGAAATTGATGTTTCTATTTGTTGCGTATCATTCATTATAAAATTTTCCGATGAAACTGACCAACATGTTTTTGATGAATTGGGACTATATGAATCAGATGCAATACTTGAAATATAAAAATCAAAAACAAATAAAAGTAAACAAATATGAAAATTTAAACTAACGTATATTCTTCAGCTAAAATTCGAGCGATTTCAGCATCATTTTCCGTTTCATTTAATGACATTTTATAATTTTAAAATGTAATAATTCAATACTTGCTGTTTAATCTTCTTTGTCGAATGTTTTGAATCTTATGAATGTTGGAAATTTTGTTCTTTACTTCAACAGTTCGTCAACACATTATTTATTTATATTTCGTTTCTCTTTTCTGTCCTATCATATGTGTAATAAAATCTTGTAGAATCTTAACTTTCGTTGAAACTCTTATTACTAGAGAAAATCATTTATTTACAAATGTCTACGTACATCTTAAAATAGAACTAAAAATATTATCCATTCTTTATTCTACTGATTTAGCTTTAATGGAAAGTTCAACGTATTGTTGAATGAAATTTGCAGTCAATGTATGCCATCTGTTGATTTAGATAATCGGAATCTTTTTTTTTTCTTGTATATCTTTTTTGTTAAAGAAACCACAGCACATATAAATACAAACAAACAAATATAATCACAGGGTTAAAACAAAAAACAACAATAGAAAATTAATAATAATTCTTAGTTAAATTGGTAGTTTTTCACCAATAAATTTCAAATGATTATTCGAATCTTCACTATTATTATCAATTTTTGTCATTAACATTGGTTGAAGCTCAAAAAAACGATTATCATTTCGTTGATAATATGTTCGATGATAACATGAACATTGATGTTGACATGTTGGATTAGTAGATAAAGGTAAATAATATGGTCGAATAAGATTTGGTCGAGGACATAATGATGATGAACTTGATGAAGACGATGATGTCGGATGATAATTTGAACATTGACGACAATAGATAAGACAATAGTAATGTAATGATTCAGATAATGAATCATCAGATTTTATTTGTTCATATTCATGTTGAACGTCACATGTTAAAAGAGGTTCAATAACACCATTTGTACACGGATATTCATTTGGTGGTATACTAGATGTTTGATCACTACTACAACTATCGCTTAATAATGGAGTAAATTTCTAAAATTGAAATACAAATTATTTCAACGAAAAATAAATAGAAAAATGAATTATTAGATTTATTTGTTTCAAATTTCTTTTTGTTGTTTATCTCGCCATTGGCAATATTAATTCAAAATTTGGTCAGCTGTTCAAATTGTTTGAACGTCTGTCTGTCTATCCGATTACCCTTGCATGATAGATTTACAAAGATTCACACCCCCTTTTGTATGATAAGAACGCATTACATATGCTTTTTTTTCTCTGCTAGCTTATTCGATGTCATGAGAAGACTTACTGTTCGATTTTGATGATGGTTATTATTATGTTGATGATGTCTATTGAATTTGACTGATGAAGAAGTGACCTTCATTGTATTATTAAACCTTGATTTATGTCTTTGTCGTCGTTTTCTACACGTAAAATAAAAAAAAAAACATATTTTCGACAAATGTTAAATACATAATAATAATAATCTTGTTCTCATCATTTATCGATAACAAGGATGTTATCATATGTACATATCTCATATGTTTATTCAGCACGTATGTTCATACACGCGTATAGGACAAATTGGATCAATATTTTGCCATCGTCTATTCTATTCGAATAAACAATGTGTACGTGCTATGCAGAAAAATAAATCATGACTTTCAATATCCTGCTGAGAAAGACAAATGAGTGCGTGTGTGCATATATATGATTATTTCACAATAGAGATGAGTGTCATTTGTTCATTATGGAAATTAAATCACGTTTTCTAACACCTGAGAGACTTTATAATGAATGATTTGAGAATAAGCAAAAGTTTACTTACTTGATCAAGACAATAGTACTAAATGTGATAAGAAAAGCAATTATAATTCCCAAAACGATTGATATTGATGATGATGAAGTACTTTTCTTATTTTCAATTGATGATGGTGATAATGAACGTAATAAACAATGAGCTTCAATTGATAATATATTTGGTGGTGGACTGATAGTAAACATTGGAGGTGGAGGAGGTAATTGAGAACAACGTTGACATGCGTAGCCACTGGTCATCTGTATAGAGTCACTTGCATCGATCTATTAAAGACATTGAAAAGAGTGATGATGATGATAAAGCAGCAAAAGTAGTAGAAAATTGCTTGTTCTCTTTCTTTCTGGTTCAGACGCAACTGTTGGCTATTGAAAGTTCATTTTCTTGAAGAACAGACACAACATACACACACACTCTCTCTCCGTTTCTTTTCTTTTAGACTTTACAATAACACCAAGGAGTATATCATTTTGATCAATTTTAATTGCAAGTTGGTGCGAAGTAAACGCACGCCATCATTATTGTATACACTAGTCTTTATATATATATGTATATGTATATGTATATGTATATATATATATATGTGTCATGTAATCTTTCAAACTTGTATATAACTTATGTCATCGATTTTATATACATTCATAGGTAGTCCGAGAACACGTAAAGAAATTGTAGGGTAGATAAAGTGCGTCAGCCTGATTGATGAGTATTTTTTTTATTTCGTTTTTTTTTTCTTTTTTATAAATAACAATAACAACAATAGAAACCATCACGACAAAGATCAAAGGAAATAAAATTTACCGATACAAATGGAAGGCATCAGATCGTGAGACAACAATTAATTCAGAAATTTATGAGATTTTTCTTGCGTCAACTAATATAATATGCAAGTAGAAGAAACAATATGTTCGATTATCTTATGCTAGCGTCAATCAGACTAGATTGTAGACTGATTCGAGAGGAGGAGGAGGAGGAGGAGGAGAAGAAAAAAAAGTGGACATTCTCGATTTGTCAGAGCATAGAAAAAAAAAGAAGAAGACCTATAATCGATATGGAATGTCTCAACATTCATAATCCTGTCAACATAACAAGAATAATGAGCTGTTTCATTGACTAGTAGACCGTTTAGTGTGAAAATATATATGTCGTTTACATACATATATCTTTTGATCTTCTCATCATTTGAGAAGAGATAATCGGATTAGTAATGATGGAATATAAACTACAAAGTCAACTATTAGAATAGTCTCTTTTTTGGGTCAGTGTATGGGTGTATGGTTGATCTATACCGGAAACAGACTTTAACCTAAAAGCTGCCATATACAATCATTGTACAGACGCGAACAATTTTGATCGTAATTGTCGCGTGCCCGGATATCTGTCTGTATTCTTCTTGCTGAACTTTTCTTTTAATCTGTCTTGTTTTTCTTCGTTCTTTTTTTCCCTTGTTTTTGATGATGATGTCGGCAATATTGTGCTGGTGTATACTGACAAATTCAAGATGACTCGATATCATGTTCTTGTATATTCAATAAAACAAACAAATAGGAAAATGTCATGATCATCATAGGGATTCATGAAGCAGACAGGAACGATTAAAGTAGACGACGCTAATTGAACATTTATCATGATTAATGAGCAATGGAACAAAAAAAAATAAGAGGAGAAGAAGCCTTGACGAGAAATATAGGATAGGTACCTTCTTGAGAAAAATGCTAGTAATGGTACACATATATATACAAGACTAAGAAGAGCAGACACAAGTGTTTGCCCCCTGGCGAGTGAATGAAGAGAAAATATGATTAAGCATTTTTTTATAGTATGACAACAGTCTTTCTAATCAAGAACACAACTAATTCTATCGAATGGATGACTAAGTAATAAAGTCTATTTGATGACAGCAGGTGTCATTCACTCTGAAATTACGTCAATAAAACTCACCAATCATACAATTGTTATTTGTATTGAAATAAATAAATTCCAAAACCGAATTAACTTGTTTTAGTTTTTCATGCACATACGCAAATGAATGTTGATTGAAAGTTCACACCCTGGAAATACTTATTCGAATGATAAACGACGTTCACTCGTTATAAACGAACCAGAGAGGAAGAAAAAAAAACGAGCATAATGGATCGTATCTCTTATCAGAAAGAGAGTAAGAGAGAAAAAAAGAGTGCCTGAACTCATATTTTTTTTTATTGCTGTACATCCATCGATGATAGAAGGCGTATGCTATAGTATAAATTCTTTTATGACTATATAGTTCATACATATATATGAGTGCCTTTTGAACTTTTATATTTCTAAATGTATATATTGTAATACACACAGAAGCTGAACAAATGTCATCGTGTTTTTATTTCTCATTGAATCAAACAAACAATTGATATGTTAAATGAGAACTGTATGTTTTTTTTTCTATCATTCATGATGAATGTAATATTGGACAAAATTTGTAACTATAAAGAATAAAAAAAAGAAATAGTATAAATTAATTTTTGTAATAGATAGTCTTCTATTGCGTATCTAGAGAGATTACTCGACGAAAACACCATCAATCAGTAGATCTAACAGTAAAGTTTATGTTATGATTCTATCAGAGTGATATAGAAATTTCTTTTAATGAAATTGTATTGTTCACAAGTAGTATTGTACTTGAACTTGAAGATTTATGCTTGATCAATTTATCTTAACTATATAAAACCAATAATGATTTATTTGTATTGATTTCAGCTGAGTAAATTATTCGTACAACCTTAAATAATGATGTCGTTTCAAATTGTCCATTGTACTCAACTTTGATGATGCTTCATTTCTGCTATTCATTGTTCATGTTAAACTCAAGTGTTAACTTTAAATGAAAGTCTTGAAAGATGAAACCTTGCCTTTAATCTGTTTATCAATGCCATATGTGTATATTTTTTATTTTTATTTTTTATTTGCTTTACTCGTTTCTTTTTCATCACATCAAACTGAAGCGGCTTAGCATTAAATGATGTCATAAGGTATAATATATACCAAGTTTAAGATTAACTGATCCATGATATGTGGTTTGTTGATATTGATTACCATTAGAATCACATAATGTATATAGACTGTGAATAAGAACTTTCGTAATCAGAACAAGAACATGCAAATGAATATATGTCTATTGAACTCATATAATAATATGCTGTTAATATATAACTAAAAGCAAGTACATCAATAGAACCTATATCGAATAAGAATTATTCATTATTTTATTGTACATTGAAGAACAAATTTATTTTTTTCTTTTACTGGAAATACTTAAAAAAAAAGGTCAAAAAGAATTGACATAGAAAAAGATTGGCATTGCTAGCATTAGAAATAACAAATAAAAACTATTCATAATCAATTCTATTTGTGCTTTTTAAGTTCACTTGATTATGTACATCTATTACTTGATTAAAAATCAACATATACAAGTAGTTCTTAATTATAGAAATCGAAATGAGTATCAGACACACTATTTCTTAGAATAACACTAATAAATAGGTACTCTTACAAATCTAACCAATGATTTATAGTATGTTCAAATAATAACAGATTTGTTAGGATCATTTTTTCAGATCATAAGAAAAGATCTTCTTACTATGAAACTTATCAAAACTTGCGATACACCGTAATTCTCACAGTTCTTGACTGATACAACGAATACATGTGCATTCAATTGTGGATAACTTTATTACAATAACATAGTAGTATCCTGCATGGGTATGATTTATTGTATTTGGACCTGTGTCTGAATAGCTGTACCCAATACCCGACTGGAGCTAATCGACAGTCGGTTGATATTTTTACACTCATAGTACGGTTTTCAAACTTTTGTTTTATATGAAAAAGTATATTATTTATTTTCTTCCATAAACAGCACCAAAAAAAAAGAGATTATTTCAAATTCCACAAAAAAACAAGTGATTCAGGACTCAATTGGTATCCTTCTACTTCTAAAATTCGATAAATTTCGATAAGCATGCATTTTCTGTTTGCTGATGACGCTGAAATGGACCACAGTATTGATACGAAACATTATAAGTGCCAATACATACATGAATACTTTTTTCATTACGATAATATATATTCATCATTTTGATAACTCATTTTACTCTCCATGTAGCCAGTGACTTCGTCATCCGTAGATGACTCTTCATTAAAAGTGAATCTTTTTTGTAAGACAATATTGTTTTCCATTTCTGTGATATATTCTCAAGTACAATGAAATGCTCAATCATGATCGGACTAGTTATTACTCCAAGTCTTTTATATAAATTAGCTGTTTGAGATAGTAAAACTATTGTAGACTGTTGAGGTCTCATTAATGGATGGACCGGATCATGGTGTGAGATCATACTCAGTACCCGAATCGACCCGGTAAGTTTGGACTCGAACGACTGATGCCGTGAACCTGTCAGAGTTGCAAGTCACTATTAGATATCTATATTCATCATTTCTTAGATTATTTATTGCATAACAATAGTCATAAAAATTCTACTAGTTATTACTTGTTCATATGCTAATATTTTCATTCACCTTGTTTTCTTCCTACTTTTAAAATCTTATGATCTATGACTAAGCAAATAAACTGTTGCCATCATTAAATTTCTTAATATCATAGAAAAATACGTTATTTATCATCCGCTCACATATTTTATTTTTATTGTTGTTGTTTTTGTTGTTACTGATTCTTTTGTTTTTTTAACTGACTTAATGCTCCTTATAAGCACATACACACGCACGAATATTAAGAAAGACAAAAAAAAAGAATAACAATAGATCACCAGGCAAAAAAAAAAGAAAGCAACATGTATGAGAATGATATTGCCAATCTTATACATTAACCATTTCCCATAAACCATAAGTAGTGCCAACTGTATTTTGCCATAAACGTAATGTTCCATCTTCACTTCCAGATGCATAAACTTCACCATCAGGTGAATATGACATACAATGTATTGGACCAAAATGACCTTTGTATGATTCTATAAAAACAAAAATAGGTTTTTCTCTAAGAAAATTTGTTTTACATTAGTATTTACCAAGTTCAACACCCGTTTCAAAATTATATTTATAAATACGAAAATCTAATCCACCACAAACAAATTCACGTGCAGTTGGATGAAATGAAGCTGTATTCATTTCACATGGCATTTCAAATGATTGTAATTTATTTAAACTATGAAATCAAATTGATAAAAGAAAAATTTATAAACAAAAAGTA